ATTTTAAGACTATAAAACAGTTATAACTGTAAACAAGTAATAACGAAACTAGTCGATTGTTGTACTTTCACATTTGAAAACTCCTCTAAAGACATGGCACATACTATTTGCAACAATAAGAACCACTGTATTCATGTTAGGTCAGTGGACAGTACTTTTGCTGATTGATTAAGTAGTATTTTAATCTTTGTTAAGGCTCTTGGTGAAACTTGAGCAATGATTAGTGTGATTTAGTTTCATCTGTGGTCTACTTGTAGTCTGCATGTGGATCTTTGCTTCTTTTTGCAAAGATTCAGGATTTCTGCCATGTGTTGGTATTTATTTTTCAAAATTACAAATAATGTTTTGCAACGTTTCCATTTCCAACATCCACAATCATGCTTTTATCCGAAAACATGCTCTTATTCTGACAATTGACCATTCATTCTTGACCCTCTGTAGAGCAGCTGACAAAACAAGACCTACTTACTCCACACATAGGAGTAAGTAGACCCCAAATGCAGATTGTTTTGTCAGTTATTAAATGTTGTTAAGGACGATATATTGATTTTATAAGCTGATGTTGTAGGAATGTTTGTGTCACACAAAATAAGTCAATAGAAAACTGAATAAAGTGATAAACATAATACAATTTATTTTTACAGCCATATTTTTGACAAATAATATAAAAACATATATCTTTGAATATCTTTACAAAAATAAAGATTGATTTAATATTTACAGCATTAAGGAGGTAAAATAAACTGTACAATGGAAAGATGTAAATTACATTTTAAATTATGCCCTGAGTGCAATAAATATATCTTTTAAGTTATTGATTGTCTTCACCAAAAGAATTTACGTTTTCCTTCTTCAACAGTAATAATACAAATCCAGTTTCCTCATTTTTTAAACAGTAAGGTTTCACACACGCTCAATATCTTCACATCAACATCGTAGTACATCTTATCTTACACAAGCTGTACAACATTTACATATTAAGGAAGAGACAGTTTAATAAGTATCCTGGCTGGGCTTCAACCGGTGACACCGTGACCACGTGGTAAACCTCTCCAACCACTGGTCCACCAGGATTTACTCGTAGTGTTCTCTTTGTTACCGTCACTCAGTAGCTTTTATCTGGTGATTCCTGCATGGATTCTTCTAAACTTAGCTCAGACAAGCCCAGAGACAGACATCCCCATCCCCACCTATGGAGCTGTGATCTCGTGCCGGCACAGCGGGCAGCTGCCAAACTCAAGGATGACTCTGGAGATGCAGTTGTTACACAGACACCGGTGACCACAAGGCAGAGTGATTCTGGCCTCTCTTCCCATGCACACCACACAGTTCGTAACACTGTCTTCATCTATGATTAAAACAGAGAAATCACAATTACAAGACTGACATCAGAGCGAGCCATACAAACACTCCTACACCTGATCTCACTGATTTTTACATAGTCATCCTCAAAGGCTCAAAATGAAATCAGATAATAATAAGTTGGAGGAACTCGTTTTCACCTGCTGGATCCATGTCAAGACAGTACATGCTGTCATCACTGTATCCATCAGGAATCAAACTGTAGTGGTTGTCAACGTTGGGTGCGGGGAGGTCATCAGGTGCAGGACAGGACCGTCTAGTTTGAAGCAGTCCTCGTTTCTCTGAGCCTGAAGCAAAGAGTAGAGGCATTTAATAATTTCATCTATTTAAAATTATTAGTGCATGTGAAATGTCCTGCCCTCAAATTACTGTAAGAACACACATCATTGTTATTTACAAGTAAACTGACCCAATAGTAAAACAGAGCACGTCTGTCCGTAGATGTCTACCATCGCCCACAGCGGGTGTCTGAGATCCACTCCTGTAAATATCTTGCGCTCCCCGAAGCTTTCGTTAGCAACGTATATGTTGCCTCCATTAGAAACCCAGAACTCCAGCTCTGAACCTGCACGGCAGTAGGATTCAAGCACAGGAGCAGCCCAGTGCCCATGTGTGTCAGTGAGGTTGGGGATGGCCATGGTGGGCAGAGGCAGAGATTTGTCTGAAGGTGGGATGTTGGTGAAGCCCAAACGCAGAGCTCCATGCCAGTTACACAAATCCTTCTGCACCCTCAGACGAATCCTCTCCTGGATCTTCACTGGGCGGCTGCTGAACACCAGGCCGTTCTTGAAAGTGGACTCCTTCCTCTCTGCGAGCCGATGCCCGTGACTCAGGCAGACCTGATCTCCCACAGCCTGACTGTGGAAGGTCAGAGGGCCGAGGCAGCACAGACCGCACCGGTGTCTCCTCTCTGCAAAGGAACAAAAACACAGTTATGAATCTTGCAATATGCAATCTCGCAAGCCATGTTTACATACAGTGAATTTTTCTTCAGTCCAATCATGTAGATTACATCTGCACAATAATGTGCACATGTCACAGACAACAACAACAACAAGCTGGGAGGTTTTGCCTCTACCACTTGAATGCAGTGTAGTAAACAGTAGCTTGTACTGAAGTTGTATGCAGAAATTGTGCTGAATTTTGTACAAGAAGAAGTGGGCAATAACCTGGAGAAACTTCTTATCATTAAATGATGGATAACTAGGGAGCTTAAGGTGTTAAAAAAGTAGCATCATTTGACAAAACAATCTAATTTCTTATCTATATACCTACTGTATATCTTGATCCTCAAGGTCACATTATGACCAAGTGTTTATATATATTTTGTGTCTATATTTGAACCGGATGCAAGTTAATCTCTTTCTTTACTATAGCAATAAAGTTGACTGATAGAGATTTTATAACTGCAGATAAAATTGTAAACAAGTAATACAGAAAGTAGCCAACACTTGCGCTTTCACTTTTGAGCATTCGTAAAAAGCTACAGTAAGCGATAAGACACCAGCCGGCCCGTGAACACAGGGGCTTTTTCTTGCAGGTGTGACTCACAGACTGTAGCAATACTATTATTACTACAATATTACCCAACTGCTTACTGTATACAAAGCTTTTTCTCATCACTGGGAAGCTGAACTTTTCTTGTAAAGCATATACTTTTTACTTATCTCTCCTTCATTTTATTTTTCACAGCACATAAATCCTTAAGTCCTCGTTTTAAAATTGTAAATGAATTAGTATTTACTTATTTTTAGTATTCGTATTTAGTTAAGTAACAATATCAAAACTAATACTTTATATCAGTTTTGGCAAATTGACAAACTGTGGTTATCAGAGGACCTTATTGACATTTAAAGCAGTAATGTAAATACCATAGCAAGCTCTCTGTAAAGGCTAAAGACCAAGAATAAATATCTCACCAAAGTTCCCGTTGTCATTGTCCCTCACCATCTTGAAGAGCTAGACAGCAATTTTCTTCGTGTCTTGAGAGATGATGTGCTCACTGCAGTATCTTGGTTCAATTGTCATGAAGTGTGTCAGTCTTGGCTGCCTTTAAAACATGGTGCACATGTGGCTTGAAAACAAACACTCCCTACATCACATGGACAGTGAAATGGGAGGGCCTGAGGGAGGAACCAAACTTTGGAAATTTACCTGAAGTTAAAGCCAAAAAGGACAAGGTGCCAACATTGTTAGTGTGAATCCTGTTTATTTATGTGAAACAATAAAACCACAACGTGAGGTCCTGCCCCTTGTGATTCTGGCTCCTATGTAGCACAGTATCACTTTCATTATTTGTCATCATCTTGTGATTGTGTTTTATGCTGAAAGACAGCATTCAAATGCATGATTATGTCAGTTTTTGTGCACAAAATAACATTTAAAAAATATTATCTAATATATTTAAGTCAGTCTTATGTAGGAAATGCACAGATTGCTGATCTTTCTCACAACTTCCAATTGTAATTTATGTGGCATTGCCTATATTTGATAATCAGTTGTAGTGTCTGCCTCCATGTAACCTTTTAAAGTGTGTGTAACTACCTTATGTATCAGCTCACTGCTCTTGATTTGTTACTGTAAAATGAGAGTCATCTTTTCCCTCTGAAGTTGAACAATGACACTGCGTGCACAGTGCAAACTTTATTCTTCTAAGCTGAATTGAATCTAATATTTGAATGTTCTGACCCCAATAGAGTCATTTTATCAGAGCCACAGTACAATGGGCTCTTTAGGAAATGTGATGCAATAGACCTGGAAAAGTCCCCTGACTAAACACATCACATGTAAAATACAACCAAAACAGTGGAAACCACTTCCCTGACCGGCTCTGTGGATTTGGGGGAACTTCATACATATTTATGGTATGAGAACATGCAGAGATTCATACCTTAAAATGTCCAGTTGTTGCTGTATCATACACCAGTGTCTACAGAGCTTTGTCGCCCTCTAAAGGACACACGGTTGGTTGGCTGTCCTGATCATGTGACGGGATGAGGTAATTACTGGAAATAAAAAGTGACATCATCAGCCTTGGAAAGTTACTAGCTACTAGCTCTTCTCCTACTATGACCAAAAACCACGTGTTTGTTCATGAAATTCCCCACATCCGGTCTCCTGATTGATCCTGCAGACCACACCTAAAACTCACCCAGAGTTAGGAATGTAGGAAACATACTGTAAAGCATGTTTCCACATGATTACATATGACTACATTTCTACTCTTTTCATACAAGAAAGACGTGCTCATCCTGTAGTGTAATGAAAAATGTCAGTTTGAAAATTAAGTTTGAAAATTAAAAAAACTGCAAAAACTACAAAAACTCAAATATATATACTCCTATTTAAATAGCAGCAAATCAATTAATATTACCATCTGCATGACTACATTTCCCTTAAGTTCATTATAAGGTATCATAAGACAATTACAACTGTATATAAAATGTAATTTAGCTCAATAAAACCTCTCTTCACGTGCAGTGCTAGTCGATTTGTATATCAAATTCTTATTTTATTACTAAATTATACTGAAATAAATTCAAATATTCATTGAAATCTCAGATATGTGGTCCAATAGCAACTGTATATGCGATTTGTTAAGGAGAAGAGAGGAATGTTTAACCAGGAAGTAATAATTGTTGCAACATACAACGAAACTCAGACCAAGTCAGACCAACACATGTCATAAATGAGTGCAATGTTATCAGAGGCAATTACTATAATGAGTTAGAGATTTCCCTGAACTACATCTGATTTCTTGGAATACTCCTGTGTTTTTTTACTACAAAACCTTACAATACATTAACATGATTTATAACACTTATATTACATACTTGAAACTGGAAGATTAAGATTAGAGAATCAACAACATATTTGCATTTTCTGAATCTATTTCTAGAGCAGAACTGTAATGTGGGTTAAAGAAGATCTGTTCATGAACTGCACCAGATATGCTATAGTTTGACTGACATGAACCGGTGCATACGTTTAGATTTTGTTTAGTCAGGGTTATGCTTATGTACAACACAACAATATATTGTTTTGTTGTTACATTTCTCCAGTCTTGGAGCAGAAGACAGAGCCGCCCTTCTCCTCCTCCTCCGTGCACTTCAGGCTCAGCTGCCTCTGCTCCACCACACTTGGTCAGACATGGCAGGCCATCAAAAAATCAACTTGTTCCCACTCCACCTGTTCAAAACACTATTAATCTGCTGCCTTCCAATAAAAGGCTTGGCTTTCAGAGAGGAGCCAATAGGAAGGCAATAAAGCTGAGAGACCCAGGCCAATCCCAGGCTGCATTCTAATGTGGCCTATCTTTATCAAGGTGCCACTCCATTTTCAGATACTGCTTATTTATGATTTCTGAGGGGAGAGCCAGCAGGAGGCACATTAGAAGAACACTAAAAATCAGTGTCCAGAGGGCTCGCCTGAGACTTCAGATATGGGATTATCACAGACCACACTGTGGCTGAGAAGAGGTGTATCTGCTGCTACACTGTTTCTGATGTGGTAGCAACTTTGGCAAACACCAGGGACTTTGTTAAAATTGCTATTAGCACTCTTAATTACTTGAATATCTGGGGACGGTGGCTGGGATCCCAGATTCAGGCATTGCCTGTGGGTGAGAGAACTCCTTGTGGGCCCATCAGAGGTCTTTTCCTGCCTGGATCTTGTTGGATGTGTTACTGAGACCTGGAGGCAGAGTTACAGTACTCCCCATGGATCCAAACATCCAGGGGTCTTTCCTGTTCAACAACAGCCTGAACCAGTTCCCCTCGGACCTCAAGGCACCAGTGTGCCAGTACTCAGTGCCCAACTCTTTCTACAAGCTCAACCCGGGCCTCAACAGCCAGCTGCAGGCAGGGACCCCTCACGGCATCAGCGATATCCTGAGCCGCTCCATGATGGGGATGGGCTCCACGGGCACCACCACCCTGCTGTCCGGATACTCCACCGTGGGGGCGTTCGGCCCCTCCGTCACCGGCACGTCCATGTACTATAACCGAGACTACAACTCCAACCTGGGCGGCTTCTCCAAGCCCAGCGCCGAGTGCCCCATGAAGGGTCGCAGTGTGAGCTGCTGGGCGGAGAGCGGCTGTGACTGGAGAGGAGGGAGGCAGCAGTGCACCAACAGTGAGTCAAAATACTGCAGACTGGACTCAACATCCAGACCATCAACACATTACAACATCCCTGCATCTGTCTCTGAGGACTCAACAGTTAGGGATGCCAGAACGTCCTTTTGTCTCTACTTAAAGAGAGAAATTCAATCTAATGAGAATAGATACAGAAATATACAGTAACTTCAAAAAAGTCAACTCAACTATACATCAGGTTAAATGTTAGATTCTAAAAAACTGAGTAATGCTGAGTTTATACAAAATATTATTCAACATATTTTAAATCTTCATCATCCTAAAAGTGTACATTTCCATTTTAGGAGACTTGTCTAAGGGGTATAATGTAAAACAAAATACAAAAATGTTCAAACAAATATTAATAAAATGTCACTTTAATATATGTGAATGATGCTGCTCATTCAATTGTTTTTATTAATGGTTATATCAAACTTCTACTATAATGATTTATATTCAAAATACTGAGTAACAAATTAAACAAATCACTTTATCATCTTTTTTTCTGATTATGCAGAGACAAATATTGTCCCACCTATTTTCATAAAGTATTTCACTGGGTAAATCTAATTCCTGTGTGCTATTTTCAGGTAATGGTCCTCTGGGGGAGATGTCAGGCAGGAAGAAACACACCAGGCCAACATTTAGTGGACATCAGATATTCGCTCTGGAGAAAACATTCGAGCAGACCAAGTACTTGGCCGGGCCTGAGAGAGCAAGACTGGCTTATTCTCTGGGCATGACTGAATCACAAGTGAAGGTAAAGATAACAGCAAATTTACACTAAAGCTGTTGCAACTGACTTACAACTTATAAGGTGACTTTAAATGTATTACTCTAATTGTTTTATGTGCACTAACTTCTAACCAGTGGTGTATTGCAGGGTATACGCAGCTATATGGAGTATATTTTTCAGTCACTATTGGGTATACCCACTTCTAAATCCCCTCTGATGCACATAATGCCAGTTGATTTTTTTTCCTAGGATGGTGAAGGCATGACATTATTGTTCAGTTTTCACGAGTGGATGGAATAAGAAATACTTTACTCAAAAAACATAATTGTGTAGTTGTCTCTGCCTTTGGGCCAGTACTGTTTGCAAAATCTGCACCTCTTCTGTGGCTTATGTTGTCACACTGGATTAATGTCCATAATGATCCATACTGCCTGAAGTCAAGCAGCAGAAGTTAACAGACAATGTGTAAATACTACTGGCTCATTTTTTGCTGAGCTAAATAAGCAAGAGTAGTCTTACATGCCACTGTTTATGACACAGGATGTTTATCCTTTAATCCTTAAATATGTGAGTACACTCACTTCTCCAGGCATCACTACGCTTAACTTTGGAAAGGTGCCGTAGAAATAAAGTTTACTGACTTATTTACTTACTTACAAGTGTAGCTATTGTGACATTGTGGCTTTATTACAAAATGAGGTCAGGAGGACCAACAACAGCTTTTAACACACACATATCTACTTACCACCACCCAGAATGCGGTCAGGGATGACTTTCATAACTTAATATAACCCATGTTTCATAATATCTGTAAACAAGATGCACCTGTCAAGAAAATTCATCCATCACGCCCAAAGACAGTAACCCCCCCTCCCGGTTCTGTTCAGGTGTGGTTTCAGAACCGACGCACCAAGTGGAGGAAGAAGAGCGCCTCAGAGCCGAGCTCCACGCAGACCAGCCACACGGGGCAGGGCGGGGAGGCCTCAGAAAACGAGGTGGAGGACGAGGAGTATAACAAGCCTCTGGACCCCGACTCCGACGACGACAAGATCCGACTGCTGCTGCGCAAACACCGCAGGGCTTTCTCCGTCCTGCGCCTCGGGCCGCACCAAGTCTGACAGACTTAATGCGCGCACACACACACACACACACACACAAGCGCGCTTCTCAGCAGGCCTGCATGCTGTAATAAAAGTTATTAGTTTTGAATACAAAGTTTAATGAATGAGCATGTTCAGAAGAGGTCATTTGTGGTCATCCAACAAACAGGTTCAACAGACAAACAGGCTGTTAAAAATTAAGCTAAAAAGACGTTTACTTTTATAAGTTACTGTAAGAAATGATCTCTGGTCTGTTTAATGTTACACTGGTATGTGGGGGGGAGAGGGGGGGTTATGTCAGACACATTGTTTTGTAAAAACACAAGAAAATGACATAAAAAAACTGCATGATGCTATTGATTATACTAATAAATGAAAAAGAAAGGAGCCTGGTGTTGTGTTCTCCTTTTGAACAGTTTGTCATTATTTTGTGCTCATATGAATTTCAAAATGAAACCACAGAAAATGCCATGCCACATGGTAAAACAGCTTTATTAATCTATCAATAAACACCAAATACTTCATCAAAAGTTGGACAGACTCACTGTAGAAGTTAAATGTTTTGAGGGAAATTACACATTCTGGATTTAAGTGCACATGCTTATAAACTCTAAAATACATGGCAGGAATACATTTTTAATTACATGAAATCAGTGCAGAGAAAGAAGTGCACAGCGTGTTAGGGAAACCAATATAACTTGTAATTCTGCTAAATGCTTTAATTGAATGTTGACTCAGTTGCTTAAAATAACTCCCAGTTAGCACTTTGTTTTTCATATTCTATACTTGGAATAGTCAGGCAGACAATGTTAAAACATTTTTAAAAAAAAACACCTAAGATGGTGCACAATAAATAACCGTGAATGGCAAACTGTCTTGTCTGCTTTTAAATAAAAGCTCAGACATATTTATTTGGCTGCAGCTCTGTCGGTGTAATTGCTGCCAAGTGACAGTTAAAACGAAACTGCAAGCAAACAAGCACAAAGAGAAGTGCAAAGGTCAAAGGACCACTCTTGTGTGATTTACTAGTGTGGTTGGGCCTAATTGAAGACAATGACCCCCACAACCCACTTCAATAGGAAATCAATACCAACAGACCAGCTTATTCACCATTTAGGCTTGGTGAGTTCAGACTCCATATGGTTCAGGCAGCTGACATCAGGCCGGATGACGCTATTGAAGAAGAAGCCGAGGAATGCTGCAGAGGCAGTGTTAGATGCAAATATTTACAAATGATCAAGCATTATAAAATCATTGGGATTTATGAATTTTTAGGAAGCAATAAACACTTCAGTCTCCCTCCAAGCTGCTGCTGGATTTATCAGTCAAACCATTGAATCAACACAAACATGAAATGCAATACAAGGTTAGAATCAGTCTCTTGATTTGTTGACCCTTGAAGACTTTCAATCTGAACAAAATGTCCTAACTTGCCAGCCCATTCCAGCTTTAGAGGGCAGGCTCAATACCTCCTCTGTTTTAGGTGTCATTTTTCTTCTTCTGTCACAAAATAAGTGCCCCTCACCCCACGGCTGAATCCTATAACTATGGAAACTGCATGCATAACACAGACGTACAGTAATATACGCCTTAGGTTAAGTTAGTGCAGCATTGATGTCCAGTTTGCATGATGCTGGTCTACATTTCTTCAATGCGACCTACACAAAAGTCAGTGTGACTTTGCATTTTTTAATGTCAATATGACTGAAAGAAAAAAGATTAATGCTAATGATCATTGTATTTATTTACAGTAGATTACTCCTGTCAAGATTCACTTCTGTTTTCCTAGTAACAGCTAAAGCCTGAAAAACAGCAGCAGCAGGTTTATCAGCTTCACATGGGAAATAATGTGTTTATGATAACAAAAGGATTTCCTCAAAAAGGTGTGACTTAAATTAACTGTTAAGTGATAACTTTGGTTGCTCCCAAAAGTCAAAGCTTTCGGTTTCAAAATCCCTGACATGTTGCAACATAGACTCGTGTCGGTGAAGCCAATCAATACCAATACAACATATTTATGGAGGGTAATATTTTATTTACAAAAGTGAAATATCACAATGATGTAGTGTTTGACCAGAGTTAATCTAAAGGAAATACTGGCCCTATAATGAACTCCACTCCCACGACTGGTCAACAGTGAACTGCTAAAAGCTTATTACTTACAAACTGTTCTCAAGCTACACAGAAATCACAGATTCTTAACTTAATCTTGTTATGGCGAGGTTTCGGACTCGCTGCACAAACACAACTGACAGTCCAAATTTGATAATAATATCTGTGAATTTATGCATGGAGAGTATTTTTGCATGAATAAAGGGAGTGTACCGGTCCACCAAGCTGTGTAAGACAAAAAAAATTAAACATTAAAATACGTGTCAGCTGGGATTGGCTCCAGGCCCCATCCTGTGACTCTGATGATAATCGGATATAACTACTGTATGGATGGTTACAAACCACAAACATATTTAAAATTATTTCAATTAGTCATTATTAAAGCCAGATAAAAAAAAGAAGAAATCTAACCAATAATTCACACATCAAGAATATTAAACAGCACTGGTGCTACAGTATGAAACTATGAATTAACAAAACACAATAAGATAAAAATCAAAACAAATCCAAAAGCAAACAGTGCCTTCTGTGTTGTGTGTGGGTGCACACACGAGTATATATATATATATATAT